TAATAGGAGAATATTACTTTTGGAGAGAAAAATTAGGTAAGTAACAAGTTAAAAAATATATTTAGGTAAGTAAGAGAGAGAATTAAAAAAAAATGAAATTGCCCATAAAATTATAATTTAGGTAAATGCAAAACAAAAATCCTAAAAATCTTCTCTTGATCTCATCTCTTAATAGTTGTATCTCTGAAAAAGTAGATCTCTGAAAAAAAAAAGACTGTGTCAGAAAATGACCAAAAGCTATGTAAACAACATAATTAACTATTTTCGAAACTACTTATTCAATTGATTTCAGAAAATAGTTAACTACATCACATTATTTGTAACTATATAAAAACATAATTAAATATTTTTATAAAAGACTTACTAATTTAAAAATATAGTTAACTATTTTCAGAACATAGTTTTTTTTTTTTTAACAGCAAGTAACTTCTTCATTATCTTAAACATTTGAATCGGTTACAACAGCATAAGATGCCTTTCTTGCAAGAGTCTCAAACAATTAAACTTGCTAATCTTGAACTAAAGCGAAAGATGAAACGAAGGAGGATAGATTCATGGGATAAACCATGTAGTTTGGGAACAACTATCAACCCTAAAGAGAAGACTCGATCCAAAAGGCTTCAGATTTTACCGAAAAAGGCCTTAAGCATTCTTCTAATTCATGTGGCAAAGCTGATTTGTCATCAACACGAGTCACCATGGATTCAGAGATCCTCGTTGTACACTCAAACACAATAACTTCTACCAAAAAATTCGAGCCTAGACATTCTAGTCTAAGCAAGGGCGGTTTGAATCGGCAGAGAAGCTCGTGGTTAGCCAGCCGCGGAGGGCCTCCAGACCACCGCCAGAGATGTGACAGATTTACATCCGGTAATGTTCCACTCTTGGAGGCCGTCGTGAACCACCGCCATAAGCCTGGCAGATTTGCGTTCAAAAGAGACCTCGATGGACTAAGACACAACAGGCAGGTAGATAAATTTTCAACCTATGTCCACTATCTAATTCTCCTAACAGAGCCTTTAACATATGGGCCAAAATTAACCACAACATGCCCAATACCACAAAGGTGTGGAAGAAGCTGACGGAGGTGTAGCGGAGGCAGAGCTTTGTGTTCGTCGGATTCGGTAACGCATGGGACCATTGCCACCGTGAATGTGGCGGGTTTACATCCGACCTAGCCCTAAATGAATTGGTTGAGAGAGAGGAGTTGTTGGGGTAGTTAATATGTGGCTCGGTGAGAGGAGATGGATTTCGATGAACAAACTTGAAAGGGGGATATGGTGGATATGGTAGAGGACCTGGTGGCTCCAATGGTGGTGAAGGTTCATGTGGTGCCGAGCGCAGCGGATCTGGTGGTTTTGGGAGAGGAGCGGTCGCGGTTTGCCTCCTCGTCACCACTCGAGAGAAGAGTCGATGGCTTTATATGAGAGGTGGTTCACCGGAGAAGCGGGTCCAGGCGACAAAGAGAGAGAGACATAAGCGATACACAATTTGCAATTGGTGAAATAGATATCCCTTTTCACTATCGAGATGTGTCTTCAAACGATTGTCGGTGATGTCTCGAGTGTGAGAAGCATGTCTTCTTAGATGAAGAGATCGCCGGAGGAGGAGGCTTGGGAAAGCATGAAGATCGGTGGTGGTCACCGTCTTGGGTCTTGTGCCCGAGAGAAGAGTTCGCCTCAGAGCATAGTTATCTATTTTACTGATTTCATAACATTGCTGACTATATGAAAATGTTGTTGTCATAGTTACTTATTATAGTTTGCATAATGGAAAAAACATACCTAGTTAGCTATTATCATAAATATAGTTACCTTTCAAACATAGTTAACTATGTTGATATCCAACGGCGGTTCAGTTTCTAATAGAGGAGATGACGGTGGGGAGATTAACGAGAAGAAGAAACACAATTTTATTTTTTCGGTTGGAGATTTCAATTTGTGGCAACGAGTTAAGCCAAAGTAATTGAGAGAGAAGAACA